CTACGAGATGTTGGGCACCTGCCGCATGATCTGTGACCCGTACAGCGTCTCTCCCGCAGGGGGACCCGCGGGCGCCAAGGCTCCCCCGCCGGGACCCAGCACTGCTGCCCTGGAAGTTATGCAGGACCTCAGCGCCAACCCCCCGCCTCCCTTTATCCAGGGACCAAAGGGCGATCCAGGGCGACCAGGCAAGCCGGGGCCTCGGGGTCCCCCTGGAGAGCCAGGGCCGCCTGGGCCCAGGGGTCCCCCGGGGGAGAAGGGAGACTCGGGGAGGCCAGGGCTACCCGGACTGCAGTTGACAACCAGCGCGGCCGGTGGCGTTGGAATGGTGGGTGGCGGAGCCGGGGGCGGTGGCGACACTGAGGGCGAAGTGACCAGTGCACTGAGCGCTGCCTTCAGCGGTCCCAAGATCGCCTTCTACGTGGGACTTAAGAGCCCTCATGAAGGCTACGAGGTGCTCAAGTTCGACGACGTGGTCACCAATCTTGGCAATCACTACGACCCCACCACCGGCAAGTTCAGCTGCCAGGTGCGGGGCATTTACTTCTTCACTTACCACATCCTCATGCGTGGAGGCGACGGAACCAGCATGTGGGCGGATCTCTGCAAAAACGGGCAGGTCAGTGACTTTCTCCCACATACCCCTCCCTACTTTATCAGACCCAAAAGAATCCGCAGACCGGGATTGCCAGGAATTTTCCTTTTTCCAGCCACCTTCCAGAGACCCAGAAAACTCTGGGATAGAGTGGTCTCTGGAGCACAGCATCCCGTTCCCCTGTGCAGTCCTCTATGCTTGCCCAAATGCTGCACGCTTCAAGCTGGACCCCGGGTACACAGTGACCCTCACACCTAAACTAGGTTCTAGGTCCCAATAGCACGCTCCTAGAACAATGTACTTGTCTTTTCCTCTATGATTGCACGCGGGCCATCCCATTTCCCTCTAGCTTTCTTCATCATGGCTTTAACCCCTTTACACACTGGGCCAGTGTCCGCAAGCCCTCTCCTCTTTCTTTGACTCTGCTGCAGACAGAACTTGGAGCTGGGGAGGGAGTGTTGACACTGAAGTAGCAGACAGAGTCTGCAAGGGGATGGGCAAGGGAGGCCAGGCGTTTACTCTGGAAGAGGTGCAAGGGTCCACCCACTCCTCTGGTTCGCCCCGCAGGTGCGCGCCAGCGCCATAGCCCAGGATGCGGACCAGAATTACGACTATGCCAGCAACAGCGTGGTACTGCACCTGGATTCAGGCGACGAAGTCTATGTGAAGTTGGACGGCGGGAAGGCTCATGGGGGCAATAACAACAAGTACAGCACGTTCTCGGGCTTTCTCCTATACCCAGATTAGGGGCTCAGAGAGCGAGAGCGCGAGACGGGGTGGCTTCAGGCGCCCCATCCCCACAGGGTTCTCACCGCCATTCTTGGGTGAATGTCACTCTGCGGCTTCATGACACTTCCTGACATCTCCGTTGGAAAAGACACATCCCTGCTGTCCTACTTGTCCTGCCTCAGGCCTCAGTGTGTCTGATTCACAATGCTGTGGGGAGGCTGTGTCCCTGGTCCCAGTGCCCATCCCGGGGAGGGAGAGGGAACAATTAAGTGGAGAGTTGGGTGAGAATCTTAGCTCTGGCCAGGAGGGGTGGTGGTGGTTGTGGGGCAGCCCAGACTTGGGAAAGCTGATTGGACTGGACAGACAGCCCTAGGGAGCACGGAGTTTCCCCAGCTCACTTCTCCCTTCCAGTGTCCCCAGGTCAAGGGCTGCAGGCCTGACCCAGGTGAATGCCACTCCCTGGGACCTCCCTTTTTGTGACCCGAAATGCCTGTGCAGATTTTCCTGTTCATCAGCCAAAACCCCACCCGTAGCTGAATTCCAACAAACAGAATATTCACCTTGCCACACATACTCTCCTCTGACTTCCTCAGCCATGCATTAAATTATGTTTTTAGAGCACCGGCTCCTGTTCTTTTTATTAATGCAGCTCCTTTACCTGGACTCCAGAAATCATCCTGGCCTTACAACCTGGCCAGTACCTTATCTCTAGCCAGAGCACTGACCCTACACCCGAGGTTGGTTGAAAGGTGTGTGTGTGTGTGTGTGTGTGTGTGTGTGTGTGTGTGTGTGTGTGTCTGCGGGGACCAGAG